AGATAGATAGATAGATAGATAGATAGATAGATAGATAGATAGATAGACAAACAGATAGACAGAGAAAATGTTGTCAGTAAAATGCCGTGACTGTGAAATGACTGAGCAGAACACACATCCATTGATTATATTGTTGGCTGAGAGAACCTTCAATGCAAGGAAGGCAATGAGGAAATAATTTTCCATAGCTAAGGTTACAAGAAATAGGCTGGTTTCTTTTACAATGTATCCTGAAGAAATACTCAATAGATTGTTTTTAAAAATTTAAGTGTGGCATGTTTATTATCATAGAATACATAATAGCCCAAACTGAGTATTAATTAACATTGCATCAAAGGTCATATGGTTCATAATATCAGTAAAATCAATATGCCTCTAGAAATCAGAATTATTGCAGAGTCGGTAAAACATGATGAAAACGGAGTGGAATAGAGGACTGGTTATGTCCTTTGTAACTAAGTGAACATATACTCACAAATGTGTCAATTAAAAAGGTGTACATGGAAATGAAAATTGGCTAATGGCCTTTTTTCCTTAAGAACTGTACTAGTTTACAGTGTTAGGAGGAAAAGGAGTGTGGGACCTTAAGATACGCCAAAGCTGCTGACATTCATCTTGGACATGTTTTGCATTTTTAAAATATCATCCAAACAATAAAGCTATTTACATCTCAGAAGGAGAAAAGGCTGACTTTCAGAAGTAACCAAGTTTGTGAAACTTTCACTCAGGCCCGAGGTCTCCACAAACAAAACCTACTCCTTCTTGATTTATACGGAGGTGGACATCGGAGAATTGCTGATGATGAAGCTTAAGTGGAAGAGCGACTCCTACTTCAGCTGGTCAGACTGGTGGAGCAGCCCCGGCTTCGTCATCGAGAGGATCCGGGTGAAAGCGGGGGAGACTCAGAAAAAGTAATTGACCTGAATGTTCTCCACCTCGTTTGCACGGCCTTCTGTCCACACCTGGGGCAAAACCTTTCAGGAGCCTTCAACATGCAGGTGGAACTATCTGTGGGACCTACTTAAATATTCCAGAATATTCTTTGATGGCCACACAGAGGAAATAGTTGACTACCTATTCCTTTGGGGAAGACTAGAAGTGTTCACACTTAGGATTTTTGTTTTGCTTTGCTTTGCTTTTGTTTGGTTTTTTTCAGATCTTGGAATAGTTGCACATATATAATGAGATATCTAGGAATTATGACCAACTAGTATTCCACGTTCCTCTGATACAAAACAGTCTGAAAGTCATTTGCACTTTTTCGGTGACTGCACTTTGACTACAGTGAATCGCCTGAGGCCAGGTGTGGAATTTCCCACTCGGGGCATCATTTTAGTATTCAAAATATATTAGATTGTGGAACATTTGGGAATTTAGATTTTTGGGTTGGGAATGCTCCGCCTGTAATATTTCTGTGTTTCAATTTAGAATTGTATAAGCCCTGAACTGGCCACAGTTATTTGGAATAGGAGCTGGGACCAGAAGCAGGCAATCTCAGGATTCGTATGACACTATTTCTTGCAAACACAAAATAATTTAAAAACGTGGGCCAGATCTTGGAGATGCTAACATCTAAGGGCTAAAAGAAACTCTCCAAGTAGTAGGAGATTCTCAGCCCCACCCCACACATATCTATAAAATAATTTGCGTAAAGAGCCCCACAGAATTGAAATATTCACACACACCTGTCCAGAAATTTTGCAACGATACCATTGGTAGAAACAACTCTTTAAAATAGAATTGAGGACTCTTTTTTTTTGCCATTTACTTTTATACAAAGCCTTAAGAAATGGCTATGGATAGAAAAATTCTGCAGAGCCTTTGTTCCTAAAGTTGTTGGAGGCCGAGTCCCTAATCCTCTGACATACTAGAGGTGGTTCTGTAATGCCTCTACTGCTCAGACCTTCTGCGGGAGACAGGACCTGAGTGGCACATTAGGGTCTGTGGGAAAGATCACCGCAGTGAACTGTGATCATGTAAGATTTAATTGGTCTTGGCAAAACACCCATTTTAAATAGCTGTTCTTCTTGTCCTGTGTGACATGCTCACATCTACTTTCTTCCCCAGGGTCATCTTCTGTGCTAGGGAGAAAGTATCTCATCTGAAGAAGGGAAAGGACTCCGCAGTGTTTGTGAAGTGCCATGACAAGTCTCTGAAGAAGTCTGGCTGGTGAGCATCTTGAACTGCAGCTCTCTGAGCATCCTGAGGAGACCTGCCTTGCGCTCGCCCTGCGTGCAGCTCTTGTGCTCTGTCTTTAGGGCATCTCTCTTAGTCCTAATTTCTTATCTTATGCTCACTTGCTTCTGTTTTTTTAACCACTTAATACGTCTTTTCCTTTCGAACCATGCTGACCTTTATCCCAGATACACAAATTTTACTTCTTGAACCACTCACAAGTCTATTTCTCCATTTCCTACTCCCTCACGTCTGTCTGCTGCGTAGATGCTAAATGAGGAGCAGGGACCACCCTGGCTGTGGGCTCAGCTCCTCCTGGGATATATCCAAAGACAAAAGCATCTCCTATCAGCCGGAGCCACACAGTCACATTCTTTCTCCAACTGCCAAAGACTCCGGGGCATAGAACCAGGGGAAGACACTAAACCAGGTCAAAACCCCAAAGCTGGGGAGAAAATGCAATGAGTACAGGAAACCGTTCTATCTCAAAGCAACTGGTCTTGTCCTATATGACCTCTAGGGCTAATACACATGGTAGCTGGCAGCAGAATCTTTCCAGCACGTCAGTGCTAAGTGGAGACCAAGCATGTGACCTTCCATCTCCTCTCCCAAGCTCTCAGGATATGCTGTTTTCATCCCTCCTCGCTCCCCTGCCAGACTCCAAGTGCTAATGGGTTACACATCTTAAAGGAAGACTATTAGATAGTGCTACAAAGGCGGTGACACAGAAACAACGACAAAGGCTGATCACAGAATCACTGGGAGATAGAAAAGGCATTTGCTATGTGGAATACCTCTTTTTAAATGTCTTCTTAAATATTATTTATATATGCTCACTCTGGCTAGATGAGGAAAACCAGACAAGAACAAAGAGGAAGCAATAAGGCCTTATCAGTAACATTTGATATGTGATTAACAACTTGATTCTTAAACTTTCTCACTATACATACATTGCATTTGTATATTTTCCCATCACAAACATACAATTATGGCACTGAATAAAAAGAAGCAGCCATATGGGCCCCAAACATTACTGTGAATGCCCAAGAGGAACCTCATATGGAGAATAGTTATTGGTATTAAGCTGGCAACATGGCTCTTAACTAAGGGGAGAAATTTCCACTAAGCCATGAGTGCTTTGCCTCTTATGAATCCTGGATCCTAGGCAACTTCTTACTTACCTGCACAGCTGGGCACAGGGGCACACACCTGTAATCCCAGCACTCTGGGAGGCAGAGGCAGGCAGATCTCCATGAGTTTGAGGCCAGCCTGGTCTACAAAGCCAGCCCAGGACAGCCAAGGCAACACAGAGAAACCTTGTCTCGAAAAACTAAGCAAACAAACAAAACAAGGGACTCCAGTATAAAAGCTTAGATGTGCACACGAGGACACTTACACACGCCTACCCCCCCAGCCTTCTGCAACTTTGAGCAGATATGTGAGTATAGAAACAAAAACCCTTTAATAACTATAAAGCCAAAAACTGAGGAAATGCCCTCACTTGTTTATGAAGCATTCAGTCAACACTATAAGAAATTATCTGTGAAGGCCTAATGATGTATCTATAACCTGCTCATAGGATTTCTAAACAATAGATACAGAGGCAGCTGTTTCTTGAAATATGCTTTATATTTAGGAGGTCATTGTGAATAAGACTAGCAATACTGTGCAGGGGTTTCAACTTAGAAGGCTGTCAGTCTGGCGCCCCTGTTAACTCCTCAGAAGGCTCACACTCCAAGAAAAGAACGAGGCAGGCTTTTCATTATGTTTAGAGCACAGGAAAGCTTCGTGACTTTTACCACCGCGTGACCTAGCCTTTGAAGATGATGCTCAAATGGGGGCCCATCTATATGTACATCAGGCATGTCTACTGCCCCAGGAGGCTACTAACATACACCAGGTGTGTCCACTAACACACAGCAAGTGTGTCTACTGTCCCAGGAGGCTACTACTTTTCCAGATCTATCATCCGCATCTCACAATCTCTGTTCTGAATGTCACTTGGACACTACTTCATCACAGCAGTGGTGGGGAGAGAAAGGATCTGTAAAAGACAAAGCAGATGATTAAATAGCCTTTCTTCTGTGTTTCCTCAGACACTGGACAAACCCACAAGAGAAGAAAGCACATGAGTTCTTTGAAGACCGAAGTAAATGAAGTAAATTTTATTAAAAAAAAAATACCCTTGTTTGGGTGTTTGAAAGTGGGTTTTCCTGAGTATTAATCCCAGCTCTATCTTGTTAGTTGACTAGAAGGCAGTCTAAAATACTGAAAGGTGGCTAATACAGGGTGAGGTCGAGTGGCCCATGGCATGTGTTCCAGCATCAGAGGATAGCAGCCAGGAGAAGCATGGCGTCCTGTATCCCTTAAGAAGGAATCACTTGTTCCCAATAATATAAGACCCCTTCGTGTGACCTGTTTGGTCATGGTCTAGAATTAGTGAGGGCCTCTTATTTTGATTAGAATTCTGAGATTTTAAAATTAAGACCTTTTGAAAGTTTTCTCCAAGTCTGATATAGACCATGTTTTTGGTGGCATGAGTCAGATCCATTTCTTTAGCAATTGAGCAGTTGAAACACCTGACCTTTGTAACTAGTTCTTTTAACATTGGAATGAGCTAAAAAAGAAAAGAAGCAGGGACAGTGGAGGACAGGGCTCAAGTCGTCCTGAGCCATGGTCTCACCATGACAAAGTACAAGTCAACAGAGATACTAAACCTAGATTGGGTAATTCTGAATAGACTTGGATTTTTATGGCTTAATCCCTCCATCTCTTAAAAATTTGTGTTATACTTCAACATTGTTCTCTGGGTGGATGTTGAAAATGAGCTCATCTTCAGGTGACACATAAAATGAGCTGAATGAAAATATTGGCTAGTTTGATTTTAGGGTTTTTTTTTTTTTGTTTTCCTTTTTCTTTATTGAGAAAAAGTCTCCTTTGTCACACTCTGGGCCAAGCCTGACCTAGAAATCTGTAGCTCAGGCCTGCCTTAAACGCTCAACAATCCCCCTGTCTCAGCTTCCTGCATGCTGGAAGCTTGACACCATAATCTTATCATCAGACTTTTCCTGTTTGTTTTCATCAACTTGAACACTTTCAATCGCCAACAGTTACTATTTCGTTGGAGAATCATCTCAGCCCTGCCTCTGTCACACTCCTAACACATCATGTTAATTTCACATTTAGATGTGATCAGGTTCAAGTTTCTCACCATGCAATGTACAAATTTTAGATCAGGACCATTTTTATCATGTAAAAGCTGAAATTACGAGGAAATGTGCATATCAATGCTTGTAAACTGTTGTGTGCCAAGAAGGGAGTCCTCAGTTGCAATAGCCACAGGAAGCCCCAGGCAGTTGGCCACTGTTTCGTTATATAAAAAGAAAAAAAAAAAAAAACTAATCAAGAGTGAGTGAACAATTACTTATGAGCTAGATCTCATATTTTCAGAATGCTTTTACTGCATATTAATATAAAGGGATGAAGAAGTTCTGTCTCAGAAGCTATTGCTGGGAACACAAACTGTGAAACGTGTGGGTATCTGAACACCTCCCCACATGCCAAGCCCCACAAGTGAAGTTATCACTCAGTGTCATCTGGAAAGGAAAGAGTCAAGGGATATACTGAACATGTCAGAGAAGTGGTTCCAGATATGCTGGACTGTTAGCCCCTGCTGGGAGAAAGATATTTGTACCTATGTAATATAGGACAAAAGGGACTGATTTCATCAGACTTGGAGTCATTTCTAACAATAAAATGATGTACAATTTGTCACTGGCAGCCCATTATTGCTAATTCATTGCAATATATACGTACATATCTCAGTGATACTTCGGCTTTAAATTTTATTTATTAGCTGTAAATATATGTGCGGGTGTTTAAGAGAGCTTGTGAACACTGGAAAGGCTGTTGCAGCTACCTGCTGCGTAGATTTGTGGTGCTAACTTTGTGTCTGTCTTTCTCAGTGATCATCTGTCTCACTGAGCCAACTTACTCTGACGAAATAGTGCATTGAAATAGGCTTTTGAAAGAAGAGATTCGCCTGTGTGATGAAATGAAATCTGCTTTTAATAAAATTGACAACATTTTATCATGATACTAAGTCATCATTTTGTATCATTTTAGCCCTTCTAGATTCTAGGGAAATCAGATTTAATTCTTAGGCCAGATTCAATCAGCAAATTTTGACTGAGTAACCACTGTACTTGCCCAGTCATAGAAGTAATGTAAGTCATAGAAGACAATTACAGACGTGACGTAAGTCATAGAAGACAGTTACAGAAGTGACGTAAGTTGTAATGTGGGCCTGATCACCTATGAGGATCACATGAATCCCAGCAATCTCAGGGCTCCTCTGACAGTGCACACGCCAGACTTCCCAGGGAGCCAGTGTTGCCCTGTGGGCACCGGCAGGGTCATCACATCTCGCAGCTTTCTTTCCTTCTCACGCTGCTCTAGATAGGACACCCCCCCCCCCGTCTGTAGACTAACCCTGTATGCAAATATACAGACTAGTGGGATGGTGATAGATCGGTTTCCAGAGTTGCTCCAGTGACGGCTGATTCTTCGCACACACCCAGGTGCGCAGTCTCTCCCTCACAAGCCCGTGTGACTAAGAAAGTGCTAAAAAAGAAATCAGCTTATTAAGAACTGCAGCCTCCATGGGGGCCTCTCTCCTGCTGGCTGGTCTTGGAGCACTCAGGAAACTAACATGAGTAAAACTCCGGGGGGGGACCATGTGGCGACAACTGGAGCTCTGGGTGTGGGAGTAATCCCTCACAGCTGAGGGAGAAATGGGCAGAAGCTGGTGACCAATGCCTTAGCTATGACCTCAGGTGAGACCTAATCCATCCCAACCTCCCTGATTCTTAGCACAGAGAGACTGAATAAATATTTTCACCTGTCACATCTGGTGCACCGGTAAATGAAAGATAAATAGTTTGCTTTATCTGGTTAATTTATTCCTTGTAAATCAAACATTTACAAGTCCATATTTAAAAAAAAATAAGGAAGATTATGCTTTGAAGGTTATGCTTATTTCTATAACCTCTCACTTAGCCACCTGGTAGGGAGGGAGGTAAAAAAAAAAAATGAATTGTCAACACCACACGGGTTTAATTTCATCACTTTCTTTTACTTCCTTTCTTGTTAATATGGAGCCTATAGTTTATTACAAAGTAAAGTGGGGTACTCTCCAGGGGTAAGAGCAGGCGATAGCCAGAGATACCAGGTTGTGTCATATACTGCTGTTGGGGAGAGAGGGACAAATGTATACTCACTCCAGATAGGAACTGACAACAGACCAAAGTAGTGTTACCACAAATCCAACTTAAACCAATGAGTTTAATGTGGTTACTCCTGGAGTTTGGGTGAGGGCTTACTTACAGTAGCTTTGTCACTGAAAAACCACTCCAATATAGCTGCAAACCTGGCACTCTCATAATGACTTGCAGGCAGCTCATCAGGTTGGGGAGGTTCTTTCCTTATCAGTCTTTATGACTTAGGTTAGCCTTGGGGAGGAAGGAGCCCTGCAACTCTGCTAAGTTTCAGGGCATTCCTGAGAGTTGTAAGATTGTACTTCCTGAATTGTACTCTCCTTTCTTTAGAACTTCCTGAATCATATCAAGCTGTCCTCCAGGATTCAAAGAGCTGTTTCGAAGTTACACACAACTGAACGCTACCATAATGTTACACAACTGAACGCTACCATAATGTTGTAGTTGTTACTTATCAATTCTACACTTTTCCACAAGATAGAATTGTTTACGAAGACATTCTTAAACCTAATGAGATCTGGTGCTAAGAACAGCCAACTGAGTTTCAAACCAAATTCATTTCCCTTCTCCCCATATCACTGACATCCAGAAAAATGGTTCCACACAAACTCTCATGAAATTCTTGTAGTTTGGAAATTCCATGACTTTTAGTTGGCACGCTTCCCCCTGCCCTTGCGTAACTGCGAGTTGTTGGCTGGTCTTTTTTTCTAGCATCGAGGACCTGTAGTCAAGTGTCCTGCCGCCCAAGGGCTAAAGAGGTAAGATGGAGTCTTTCTGGATATACAAAGGTCTAGCTGAAGAGACAGAAAAGCCAGCTGGCGTTATGTTCCCTATGCTAAGCAAGCTCACTGAATGCCTCCCCACAGTCCACTTGTTACACTGTGTGATAAATAAGCTGTCCCTCTCAGCCTAGGCGACTCAGCAATAGGGATACTCTAGAGATAGACAGTTGAACTCTCTCCTTAGGAACCTGGAGGATGTGGCACAGGAAAGGAAGCGACGAAGAGAGATGACCTTCACGCTCAGTGCACTGCAGATGAGTTTTCCCCGCAGGATGGCCACTGTGCTTCCAGACAACAAGGCATGTGGCCCTGGGCCAAGCCTGACCGTGAGGCCTGTGCTCTGCAACAGTTCTAGTCCAGTCGTCCATCTTCCCGGATGCAGAAGCCTTTACTGTTTAATAGCATACCTACACCCTCCCACACACCTTAAAAGTGTTGATGGCTCTGTGTTACTTTTCTTCCTACTTTTGTATTTTCCTCCTTGGTGTTGCTGATCAAGCTCAAGGTCTTACACGTGCCACACAAACATCTGCCACTGCCACAATGCTCTTTTTTATTTTAATTTTCTATTTTTGTTTTGGGGCAGACCGGGCTGTCTGTCCTCAAACTCGTGTTCCTCCCATCTCTGTGCTGTTTGAACTGAGATCGCAAGTGTGTACCACCATGCACAGACTTTCCCCGAAGTCCTGCACATGTTAGGTACACACTTTACCACAGAGCTTCACCCCAAGTCCTGTTGGATAGTTTGCTTCCTTCTTGTCTTAACCTAATCTGAGCATGGTCTTATAAAACCTCTACTAAACCCTTAAGGCATTTAGAGACAATTAAGTCGCTAACATAATAGACAAGGCATTTATTTTGTTCATTAGGTTTTCAGGACTCATAGTTCAAACCATAAATTGCTCCTGCCTCATGCTTCAGGAGGGCCTGGGGCTGCCTTATCTTTCTCATCAGCACTAAATCTGCCCGCTGGGTGTAAGAAATGCACTGGCTGTGTCTGGCTGTCCTCACTGGCACTCTATAAACTTCATGCGACTTCATTAGGGCACTAATTCATGCTGGCCAGGCATTGTAAATGCCTTCCCACAGCAGAGTTCCAATGGGGGCGGCGGAGCCTCCACTAGATTTCCTTGGTCTTTTTATCAGAGATTCTGCTACAATAGGCTGAGTGGAAAGCCCCACAGACATAGACACATGGATAAAGTTTTCTTTAGAAAGGACAGTCTTAGCAAAGGCTTTACACCCAAGCTTGAAAAGCAACACCTCTCAGCTGTGTTACTTTTGCTTTTTGGAACAAGTGAAAACAAGCAAAGAGAAGGGCAGGGAAGCAGAGGTGTGCCCAGAAGAGCTTTACATACCCAAGTTGGTTTTAGTACATAGACATGCAAATAAGTGATATGATAACTGGCAGCTTAAAGGCTGCTGGAAACGTTATCTCTAAGGGTCTGGGTGAGGGTTCAGTGAAGCGCCTCTGGTGCATTCGTAGGGACCTATTTGGGTGGCCAATGCTGGCATTCACAGCGAGGAGGGTACTGAAAGCTGGAGAACAGCTAGAAGCCCTCAGACCAACTGGCCCAAAGGGTGAAGGGGAGAACTGACACCCAGATTATCCTCTGACTTCCAAATGCATACAGCAACAGGAGCATACCTAACTTACGGGCAGCAACACACACACAGTCCGCACCACACACACACACACACACACACACACACACACACACACACACACAGTTGATACTGGCTCTGTGGTTCTAGATGGCTATGTTCAGTGTTGCAGTAGCAGAATGGCAATAGATGTGGAGAAAGCCCTCATTAAATGCAGTCTCAGTATAAGGGACAATTTGGAGTTTGAGCATTCGCTGATACATTATTTACTGTTCCCAAGATGCCTAGTAACACTGACTGTGACCTTCAGAAAACAGTTATAAAAGCTCAAGCAAAATGCAAGAAATCAAGTCCACTTGTAGGTGTGGACTTGTATGCACACAAGCCAAGGGCAATCTCTGAAATAGGCACGTGAGTTAATCGCTGTGCAAAGAAACAACATCATTTTCCCGTACTGTGATGGTGGCAAACTCCACCCTGGCTATGATTATGAAGTTGGAATGTCTTCTCTCAAAGCTGCATCAAGGTTTTCCTGGAGTCATTTGAATCACAAACTTTCTATAGTGTGGTCTGCTGGGCACAGCTATAGAAAGTTTGTTTAAACTGCAAATGATTTTCAAACATTTCCACCTCTTCAAATTCCGAGTTTGAAATATTAACTATCCTATTTTCACAACTGCACAGAAGTGTGTTCATACGACAAAGCCACTTTTACCTAACAGGCTGTCATTTGACTAGCCACAGCATTAAAAGTTATGTTTAAAAATCATAACTATTGCTCGCATTATTAAATATTTAATTACAATTCAAATTTAAATGGTTTAAATTTCTCACACTTAAAATCGTTTTGCTAAAATGCTTTTCAAAAAAAAGGAAAAAAGGTGACGTTTCAGTCTGTAGAAAGCCAAGGTCATTGAAAAGAACCACAAGTGCAAAGTGAAGAAAACAAAAAAAGAAGGCTGAAGTGAAAAGATGGCTCATGGCCTGAAAACTGGGTGGTGAGTCCTGGAACCTCTGCTTAAAAGAAGATGGTCATGATCTTCTGACCCAAATCACTCTTTTCTGCTACATGTTTCTCACTGATTGTTTTTACACAGTTGTTCATTTCTCA